CACGTATCACACCCACTCACACGTATCACACCCACTCACACGTATCACACCCACTCACACGCATCACACCCACTCACACGTATCACACCCACTCACACGTATCACACCCACTCACACGTATCACACCCACTCCTTGCAGCTACGAGGCGCTTATGCGTGTGCGTGCGAGTGAGGGCTTGCGGGCCATGCAGTACTACGGCAACTTTTACATGCAGAACCACGTGGACATGCAGCTGGCGGGTATTGACAGTGACAAGAGTGTGCTGGTACGCGTGCACTATGATGGAGCCATTCCTGCCGGGGCCACTAATGCCTACCTACAGGTGTGCACACGTTTACATGCGAACAAGGGATAGGGAGGGATATAATGGGGACAGGATAGTGCAGCAGAATTTGTGGGCGTTTTTGTTTGCGAGTATGTTTGTGTGTACATGCAAGCCTGCTTGAATATGTACATGACCGGCATTTGCAAGAGAGAGAGGAGTGTCGTAGTGCGTGTACACTGCGATGCAATTGTTCCTGTGGTCACTACCAATGTCTTTTCACTGGTGTGTATACATTATAAACTTGCGAATCAGGATCAGCGTATAATAGTAGAGGAGAGCGAGATGTATCGCACATACACATTCACGTACGCAAACCATGTGTCCATGCACTACCCCACAATGTTTGGCGAACACCGCGTGAGATGCATGGTCATAATCACACACCCTTGCACGTAGTCACCTGATCACTCGACCACACACACACCCATCCACTCTATCAAACACTATCTGTACGTATGCACACACACCAGGTGGCCATGCTGTACACCACCATGTTTGGCGAACGTCGTGTGCGATGCATCAACTTCCAGATGAAGGTGGTTAACCAGTTGAGTGAAGTGTTCCGCCACTCTGAGCTGGATACTCTGCTGAACTTCTTCGCGCGCAAGGCAGCCCTGGACATGCGAAAGAAGACGATCAAGGCCATCCGAGACAGCGTCATTGAGAAAGCCAGCGAGGTCCTGTCAGTGTACCGAAAACACTGTGCAAGGTACGGGTTATTGTTTTCTGTCCCAATTCATGAGTGTATACGTCTGTCTGTGTGTATTGAAAGCACTGTGCAAGCTACGGGCTATTGTTTTCTGTCCAAATTCATGAGTGTATACGTCTGTCTGTGTGTATTGAAAGCACTGTGCAAGCTACAGGCTATTGTTTTCTGTCCCAATTCATGAGTGTATACGTCTGTCTGTGTGTATTGAAAACACTGTGCCAGGTATGAGTCATCGGCTGTGTCCAAATCCATGAGTGTGTATGTCTATATCACAGTGGTGCCTATCTTTGTGCTACATGATGCCTGTGTAAAGACTATCCGCGATAGCGTTATTGAGACGGTCAACGAGGTCCTCTCGCTGTACCGCAAGCACTATGCCGGGTAAGGGCTTATATCTGTGTCCAAGTTGTGTCTATATATTCCCGTCTTTTGTTCGTGACTGTTTGCGTAGTACAGTAGACCGGACTACGCGCAAGTAGGCATTTCCATAACCATTCATTATAACTTTACTGAGAAGGCCAGAGGCGATCTCTCTGTGTATCGCAAACATTAGCCAGGTGCAGTGTATTGTATCTCTACGTGTGTCTATCCTTGCCTTTGCTTTGTTTGTGTGTGTATGTGTGTGTGCTTTGTGTGTATGTATGTGTTTGCTTTGTTTGTGCGTGTGTGTATATATATATGTGTGTTGATGTGGCCTGAATGTGCCCAGTGAGACCAGGAAGGGCATCCGTGAACGAGAACGCGAGTTTGAGTTAACGAACGTACTAATGTAAAGCTATAGTATACACGTGCCATACGTACTCTTGCACGCACATGTACACCGATAGACCTATGGCCTCGGCTGTATACCGCTACACTCCCAGACACACACCCGTGTCTCTATCTCCTAAGCCCACACTCGCATAGTTTGCCCCAGTCCGCATTCATACCAATAACCTTTCACGTATCTATCGGCAATCAACCGTACAGCACGTCGTCGCCAGGTCAGCTTATCCTACCCGAGGCCCTCAAGCTGCTGCCGGTATATCTCGCCTCCTTACTAAAGACCGACCTGTTCCGGACTGGGGCTGATATGTCCATTGACCGTCGTGCGGAGACTATCCTGGAGGTGCTATCCATGCCTGTGCCCATGTCGGTGTCCTTTGTCTACCCCCGCTTGCTGTGTGTGCAGGACATCACTGAGGATACGGATTATTCCGCACCCCTGCCAAATAAGCGCGTGTCGTACGACCGACTGGAGAGCGATAAGCAGTACATAATTGGTATGTGTATTTTGTGTGTTGGTGTATGTGCCTGTGGTTGGTAGGTGTGTGTGTAGTTGGGGTGTGTTGCATGACTGCAGCGCAGGTGCCTGTTTGGTACCTGTATGGGTGTATCGAGTGTGATGGGTTGTTCTTGATTGCGTCTTGCACGATTTCCATTGCTAGTAAGGACGGTCTCATAAGGCTCGGATCGAAATGGTTTGTGTGTCATGTCAATCGGGCAACCCAAGTATATACTCACTCGTACGATTGTCTGAATTGAATTGCTTGTCAAATATGATCCATCCTGTATTCATTGGTTGGCTGTGCATACATATTGAACGGCGTGATCTTCATTGCTGGCGCTCGTATATAAAATCTTTGAAAGTATTTTTAGTTGACTGACATACCCACGACAAAGGCCATCACCAGATACCCCTAAGCCCTCCCCTGGGAATACTTTGCATACGCACCCCGTTGTATCATCGACACAAACCAATTATGAGAAACAAAAATGTATAATTTATTTATTTATTTTGCGTTCGGCCTTACCTACTTGTACTCATTTCATGCCATCCCTTATAATGCTGTAGACAATGGCCTGGTAATGTATCTCTGGATCGGAACAAGCGCTTCACCGGAATGGTGCCAAGCGGTATTTGGAGTGTCGCAGGCCAACCAGATAGACTGTCACATGGTATGGTATGAATGTACATAGTCGAAGTAGTTGGAGCGGTTGTGGTAGGTATGCATGTACCTGTGCCCGCAGTAGTCCCTTAAGGACAACGGTAGTGTTAGTGCTTGTGTTTATTTTTATAGTCACGAAGGACCACAGTTGTGTAAGTGCCTGTGTTTATTTTTATAGTCCTGAAGGACCACAGTGGTGTTAGTGCCTGTGTTTATTCTTGTAGTCACGAAGGACCACAGTAGTGTTAGTGCCTGTGTTTATTCTTATAATCACGAAGGACCACAGTAGTGTTAGTGCCTGTGTTTATTCTTATAGTCACGAAGGACCACAGCAGTGTTAGTGCCTGTGTTCATTTTTGTGTCCCTGCAGTCGTACACGCAACGCGGAACGCCACCACTTCGACGTAAATACAGCTGACAGAGATTAACTCCACAAACCGTTTAAATTGGCATCTAAAGGATATTTAAACGTGGGTGGTTGCCAGAGACAGTTGAAAATTGGATGTGTGTGCTGCTGTTAATCATTAGTATGGATTCGGTGCTCACCACTCCATACGAGCGACCGCTAGAAAATACACCTGTGTCCTCCTGTCTGTGCAGGATAGGCATCTGGTGGATAGGCATCTGGTGGATATACGGGTGCACTGTATATACACCATAGGACACCTTAGGACTGGTTTAAATACACAGATGAAGTTCTTGTTCTTTAGCTCAGTTGCATAACTTCAATTACGAGAAGCTGTCAACATCCTTAAGTGTCTTAAGCTGTCAGCATCCCTAAATGTCATGATTGCAGCCATGGCACATATTTGTTCTGGACGTTCTATCCCGCACACGTCTCCATCGGCCATGCTAGCCAATGCTCATTCCAGACCCCTCTGATCTCGTATATATCTGTTCTGCTATTTTCCAATGTCTTCATACCTATTGTCATATACACTTATACATATTCATGCATGTATCATGGTCATATACACTTATACATATTCATGCATGTATCATGGTCATATACACTTATACATATCCATGCGTGTCCCTACATCATGGTCATATATACATATACATGCGTGTCCCTACATCCATTGTCTCGCAATGAGTACAGGCGGCGCTACCAGATATCGACACAACCGAAAGCCGATCTTTGCGGAAACTGGTTGAGCACGTGCGCACCACACGCCAACGGTTCTTAAAGCTGCACGTGGTGAGGCAGAGAGACCCCAGTGAGATCGGATGGAACCTTCTCATGGTGGAAGATGCAGGTAGAGAGGAGTGGCTATGATAGTTATTGTGTTATCAGTATGAATTGTACAGTGTGAATGGGGAGACCCCAGTGAGATTGGATGGAACCTTCTCATGGTGGAAGATGCAGGTAGAGAGGAGTGGCTGTGATATGATCGTGAATGTGTTATCAATATGGGCTGTACAGTGTGAATGGGGAGGCCCCAGTGAGATTGGATGGAACCTTCTCGTGGTGGAAGATGCAGGCAGGGAGGAGTGGCTATGATGGTGAATGCGATATCAGTATGGGCTGTACAGTGAGATTGGAAGGGATATGGTTATGGTACAAGATGCAGGTGGGAATTGGATGTGTATTACGTTGCTTTCGAAGGATTATCTGCAGATTTCAACACTGTTATTGTGTGTGTTGTACTATGTGAAAGGGTAAACCAACGTCATGGAACAGGTACACTACGAATCTCATCCGTTTTCGTCATGACAATACTCTCAAACCGTATATTCGTGTAGATATCAAGATCTCACATGATTCCGTTAACATAGTCTTATCTTTGTGGCTCACACGGGGTTGTCCGGTGTTATAGCCCCGACTTGAGTCGCGCAACGTGTTTTCCGAGGCTGATAGGTTAAATCCCAGTTGATGCGGCATATATGTGTGTTTGCAAACGCCGAATGTTGGTAGTTATCACAGACATAGTCCGTTCCGCTTTTCTTGGTAGTATATCTGGACTAAACCCAAACAACCGCTACAATACCACAGGCTTGGACACGATGTCGTACGTCGACTTCCTGTGCTACATGCACCGCCAAATCCAGAACCAACTGTAGTTAACCCAAAGCCTTAGACCAAGGGAATCGGAGACGGCCCAGCGTCCAACTGGCTCTGATAACTGCGGCCAGGCTATCCCTGACCCGCATCAGTGGAGCGCGAGTCCTCGCACCGTCATTCGCGAGTGTGCGTGTGCGGGAAGGTATGTGCTGGGCCTTGTACGGTGTGCCTCTGAGCGTACCACTACCTACCGAATGACGCGAACGCTGATGTAGCGCAATCTGTATCTGTTATCTCGCCAGCCCTGATGTGATGTTGACACGTTTGTGACACCCCGGATCGCCTGGGGACATCTATTGGTATTGACCGAGGAACAAGCCCTGAGCGCCCTCGAACGTCTGTAAATAAATAAAGACACGACCGCGTTTCTCACCATGAATTTCATCTTACCACTCATAGAGTGAGTAGCCAAGTTGGAGTGAGGGGACCGGCGAATATCACCCGTAGAACCCAGGTTAGAGCCGGGAGGAAGCTCAATAAAATATACTGTGCACATAAGTCGAAACCAATGGGTTGAATTAAATATTCTGTGCGCATAAGTCAAGACCAATGGGTTGAATTAAATATACTGTGCACACAAGTCAACACCAATGGGTTGAATTAAATATACTGTGCACATAAGTCAACACCAATGGGTTGAATTAAATATACTGTGCACAAAAGTCACGGCCAATGGGTTGATTTAAATATACTGTGCACATAAGTCAACACCAATGGGTTAAATTAGATACAATGTGCACATAAGTCATGACCAATGGGCTGAATTAGATATACTGTGCACGCACATAAGTCATGACCAATTTGAATTAGATATACTGTGCACATAAGTCAAGATCAATGGGTTGAATTAGATTTACTGTGCACATAAGTCAAGACCAATGGGATGAATTAGATATACTGTGCACACAAGTCAACACCAACGGGTTGAATTAGATATACTGAGCACATAAGTCAAGACCAATGGGTTGAATTAGATATACTGTGCACACAAGTCAACACCAATGGGTTGAATTAGATATAATGTGCACATAAGCCACGACCAATGGGTTGAATTAGATATACTGTGCACATAAGTCAAGACCAATGGGTTGAATTAGATACTATGTGCACATAAGTCAAGACCAATGGGTTGAATTAAATATATTGTGCACCTGAGTCAAGGCCAATGGGTTGAATTGAGTGTAAGGAACTGTGCATGATCCGGGTCTCCCACTCTGTATAGCCCAATCCGATTGAGGGTTGAGTGACACCTGCGCACGTAAATTTTATTGCACACTAACGATTACTATGATACGATAGGCCAGAATGGACCAGAAAAAGTAAACGGGTACAGTACTCCACATATACAGATGAACAAACAGATAACAGATGGAACGTCGTAGTACTACGAAGGATCAGGCTGCAGATTGCATAGTCCACGCCAAGGCCTTCAACTTCAATGTATCTGCATCCGCCGATAGCTAGGCCTCTCACGTCTTTGTTAACGCTTGCGAATACGTATATCATCTTACCCTACAGTAGCAGGATACACAATTCTACTCTACAATTATATGTTCAAATGAACGGCCGGAACTATAGGTGGAATTGTCCCGGTCATGAAGCCGAGACACAAAACCAATTTATATTACCCTTAAGCCTTCTAACATTCTTTTATGTCCTGGTGGCGATGGTGTACGTTGTCACCTACAATCTAATATTCAATCGCTATGATTCATAATAATTTGCCACACAGCCCATATCCTCTCCAAAAACAGTACCGTCAAGTTTGCCAAGCAAGGCCCACAATTTTGTGTTTCACTGCCTAATGCTCCGTGGACTCGTGCTCGACTAGCCGTGAAAACCTGGTTTATCAGTCTATCAAACTTCAGGGGGGACAAGTGCTCATAAACACGCGTCTCGGTATTCAGCAGATTTGTGACCCACTATCTAGCAAGCGCCCTAGCAGCCAATGGAAAATGAGGGCCAACCACTCCACAACCCGTGGTCCACACAAGGCTGTGTAGTGCCGGCTATCCCCTGGGTGCTGGCTTGCTAACCTCATCCAAGGGGTGAGACTGGCTAGCAATGTGCTACACTGATGCAGGAGTGGGTGGCCTATGAACTCATGCGCCCATGGCCTACAGCTAGACGTAGCTTAAGAACACGCAGATACATCGCGTGGACGATGGTACGTGTCTCCTTACTAGCTGGCAACACGCAATTCACTAAATTGGAAAGCTAACACCCCACGCACAGAAGAAATCGAAATCCAGCTACGCTAGAGCAGTCTTCTGCGGATATAGGAGCCCACACGATGCTCAAAAATTGAGGGACCAAGATCAATAAAGCCCTTGTCTCAATTCAAGCACATATCAGATGTACACTTCGCACCAGGTAACACGTAGCCGAACCACCGACCAATTGCTTCCGCAGGATGGGACCATTCATGATGCATACTCCGGCATTGTGCACAGGTCAACATCAGCCGGCGCCGCTACGAACGACTGCAGCAGCGGCAACTCAGTATCGAGGGCCAAATGGGCGCATATTCTACGGTACATGGTCTTCCTTTTATCCCCGTGCCCGGGTCTGGTACTGATGTTCTTAGAGCTGTACTTCTTACGCAAGGCGATCCGGCCATTCACACCCAGATTGTACAGACACCCCTTCTTCTCTGCGTCCAGGCTGGGGTCTTCACTCTCGGGCTGATACCGTGTCAGAGCTACCGGGAGATTACCGTTGTGTATAGCCAGCAGATTCATAGCAATATCGTCACCGTTAAACAAGTCGTCGACCATGTTTCGTATACCTTTGGTGCCCACCTCACACGAGTACTGCCTCAGCAGTTTGGTTGGCATCATGGCACTACCTGTCAGCACCATGTTGTACCCCGGATCAGGCCCGAATATACGAGGCCGCGCAAAGGCTGGATAGGTACCGTCCGGTGCGAACTTGCGATACGCATAGCCCACGAGCGAGTCCTGTTTATTGAGCCAGTTATCAAACGCAAACTCATACGCCACGCCCGGCAAGCGGATGTCCAGGTCCACTATATACACTGCGGCTGTACGAAGTTCGCGCCAGGGTATGAAGCGGTTGTTCATGCTGTTTTTGGGCATCTTGAGCACGTTTACCATCGGTCCGTCGGCACGCAATGTCTGGTTACTGAGGCCTTCGGGGATCACATCTTCCTCGTTGTTCCACAGGAGCATCACCTGGTAGTAGGAATTTATGGGATAAGTACATGGTCTCTAAATTAGATAGTACATTTATTTGTACGCGTTTATATACGGGACTATGAGTGCTAAGGCTTGAAAATACTAGTGGGTCATGGTGCAATCAAATCTATCTATACCTAACAATACTAACAATGAATACGAGATATAATAGATGAGTGCCACAAAATCAGGAGTACAAAGCAATTTATTTTACACGTTTACAAAAGTTAACATATGTATTAGAATACAAGGAGGTGCGACACGAGCATGAGCACATACACAAGTGCAATATTGTAATATAAGCGGTATCATTCGAATTAGTACAAATGTATCAATCGGCTAAAAACCTGCAGAAGGATAATAAATACGGCGGAAATGGTGTTATACATAAAAATGTATCTATATCCGCAATATATCTATATATGCATATATAACTATATTTATGTTTATATAGATCAACACATTAGCAATCTTCGCATACACAAACATAAAACACCAACCGACAAACCAAACCACACGTTCATACGGCCATACGCACAACAGATATATATATATATATATTATATATATATATATATATAATGCATACAGATATATATATGTATACATAAATTATATACA